AGGGATTGTAATATTGAATTGAACTTCTCGGGCACTCCCTTCAGGGAAAGACAGCGCCAGCGTTTAGAGCGGTCGACTGAATCAAAAGCCGCTTTTAGATCGAGGAAAATAAAAACGGTGGGTCTACGAAAGGAGTGTCTGTGTTCTAGAATTTGACGGAGTGTGAAGATGTGGTCAATACAGCCTCGACCAGGTCTGAAACCAGCCTGCTTCTCACGCGTACACCGTTCACGTGCGGCAGACAATCGACGGAGTATGATACCGGTTCTCACGCGTACACCGTTCAAGTGCGCCAGACAATCGACGGCTTATGATACCGGCGAGAGGTTTACAGGTAATGTTGATTACACTAATTCCTCTGTGGTTTTCACAGGAGGATCTGTCGCCCTTCTTGTAAATCGGTTTGATCAAATGGTTTTGAGCGTATCGGCTTTTCTCCGTCTGTCGCTCTGATAACCTCCAATTATTTAGTAGTTTTCCGAAAATCAATACTTTTTTCGATTCCACTTCTGCAACTTCTGAGTGATCCGTTGATAGTAATTGTCCACTTTATCCGGTCTATTGTTTTGTACGGTTAAACTTACCGCCCCTTTTTATCTGTTCGCTTTTTTCGTCTTAGAACATTATTTGAATGTGACGCTTTTTAAGAAGCATATGGTTATATTTCATGAATACAATTATTATTAATCAGCACCTTGCGGTTCATAATCTTCTCTGTGCTCAGTCCCTTTTTACAGCTTCAATTTCTTGTTTACTGAGAAGCTTGCCCACCATGGGCGAATAAAATGCATTCTTGAATTAATTCAACGATTGGTAATTCTCATCGATTGCATTCACACAGGCTCTAACCCTGTGGGTGCATGTCTTAAACGATTGGGATCAAGCTGTATCGCATTGTGTTTCTGTGTACGAATGCACAATGAAAACCGCTAACAGGAAGAACACCCAACCGTCGAATCCTACCAACGCTCTGGAAGTGTATTCCGGAACCACAGCGGTTCCCGCTCAAAATTTACTACCTGCCTCATCTCTAACACCGCTTGTTTCTCGCTCACCCGCTCGTGATTCGATTGATGATTATGCTCAGGACTTTTCACGACCCGTGGGAACTGCGGATTCAATTGCGAGCGTAGAACGGGATATATTCTTCCTGTTGGTGCTCATCTGTATGCAACCCCCTGATCCAGCCAGTCTTGGAATTCTCTTACCGGAAATCGTGGGTGAGTACACAGCGATCACGAACCATAGTAGAATCAAACACGTTTAATATTCTATTCAGACATCTTAATTACATAGAGTGAGCGGCTGTTAAAGATTCGTGTGCAGTGTAGATGTTGATTTCAGGTAACAGATGTAAAAGCTGCAAATTGGAATGTCAGTTTTGTGGTTTAGCCAGAACTGTGTTATTCCGTGCACAACACACCTGTCCACAGTCTCTCATCGTTCCTGCCGTCTGTGTGCAATGTTAGGAGATATTCTAGGGACAGCCAATTCTGTGCTTCCCAGATATGGTAAGTGCACCGTATTTCCGTGTTTGAAGCGTTTCTAGCTCGATAAATGTACCTTCTCGACGATTCTCTACAAAATAAAACTATACTCACATGTGTGACAAAAATGCGAAACCCAAGGCAGCATAAATCTTTATAATTTTAAACAGCGGAAAATGGTCATTCCGCAGATACGTCGAACGTCGCAGTTGTTTGTTTCAAGCCTCCGTTCGCATATATTTTGGGTGACGTTTGGAGAGCCGAATCCGACTTATCGTTTTTTATGTCTGTCTCTCAGAGTCAAGCGCCGAAATAAGTGGTCAGAGTGGTGCGCCTGTGGGATTCCATCCGAAACCTGCGAGAGCCCTTGAAGTTTTGAGACGTTTTGGCGATCGAGTGGATGCATCCAAAGTAGTGCGAATATTACCCTCAACGCGGCTGTCCGATATAGCTCACTACCTCAAGGTTAGTACCTGTGTATGTACATTGAAGTGTATTCGTTTAATATACTGTTATCTTTTATCAGATGCAATTTTTAACTATAAAATAACGCAATATTCTGTTACTTCCGGTTAATTTTCGGTAAACCTGATCTAATGAGTTTTGGCAATAGTTCAATAGATTCCTGTTTTTCATCGCGGCTGCATGATACTCGCAATGCGTTTCTGACCATTCATCTTCGGTAAATTTAACTTATTTTTAAGTGTTGGCGGCTTTTTCAGTTCCTGGTTTGTGTTTACATTCCTAAGCCAAGACAAGCGAACTATTATAAACTTATCCATGAACATATACAGGAGTAGCAGGAGTTCTGGCACCAACTAAGCAGATTCTCAAACGGTCCAAGTCAAATTCTCACTCTCGCTACTTCAGATACAACCGGGAGCTAAAAACTACTGATTATTAGCGTAGAGTTCTGCGTAGTCCGAACCAAGCACAAACATATACACACAGTATCCCTCCGTGGCGTGTGCATGTATCTGTTAACTTCAACGCAGACAGCGGTGAGATGTTATGGGGAGAACCTAGTGGACGTGTTTGACATCAACGCTTAGTTCCAGCTGCACATAAATCTACGCTTGCTTTCGTTTACTGGTTGTCTGCAGTAGTACAACTTAAAATTCTACTTAGGCCATTTTGGGATCTGACGGTTTGATGTACAGGATTCCTGATGCTCCTGTATAGTTTGTGTATGTAAGCATGTCTTACACTGATTCTGTATTCTTTTAGATCACACTAGGGCTGATCAGTGGGCTATTGTGCAGGTATCCAAGCCTTCATTTAAATCTTTGTTTTCCGTATCTAACCCTCTCGTTTTGCCCGTTCTTCCTTTCCGCAACATTTCACGAGACAACTTGTTCGTCACTTGTCAAAGTTCTCGGCCAAATAACCATAAAATACATTGCAGGTTCTGAAACGTTGTCAATCACTTAATCTGGGGGCCTTCTGATGCAGGTAGGTCAACAAGCGTGCCTGGTGCGAGCAATGGGTTCTTTGAGTACTAATGTCTGCTGCATATCGAAAACATGAATCCAAGATCCTAGTACTATATGCCACTTAAGTGTACTGGATTTGACTTTGAGGTACTTTCTCCGCACATCAGACGACAATGAAGTCCGTTTAGAAGGTCACCGCGGGGTAATTATTGTGTTTAGCGATAGGGCCGAAACCTCTCCTGTCGGTTGGATCCCCGTCAACAGTCAATTATGTGCGCTGTCTCCATGGTTCAATCAGCGTCCGGAAGGGAAACATCAAAAGTTGCTTGTTCATCATTTCAGTGTGTGCACCGACCTCCTGCAGTTCTGACGCACAAAAGGACGAGCTTTATGAAAAACTCGCCGAATGCATTTAGTTGAGCCGAAGCTCCGATATAGTTGTTCTTGCAGGTGATTTTAACGCTCAATTTAGAAAACTGAGCGCATCGGAAGCTTGTCCAGGTAGTCGTTGTGTCCTGCCCTGTCAACGAATTTCCTCAGTTCTGCACAGACCTCTATCTATTCCTATCCAATAACGACTTTCCACAAAGCTCTCAATGGACGACAGCCTGGCGCTCCAGTTCAACTAGCACGCATATACAAATCGACTACTATATGGCAGTTAGCTACCGTTGACCTGGTTCTGTGCAAAACTGCAGATCCTATTGAACCAATTGTGTTGAATCTGATCACGCATTAGTTTTAATGAAGCTCTTTTTTGAATAGTTTGTTGCACAAAATACCAGGGAACTCGGCTGTTATACCATCGTTTATCTAACCCAACCGTTCCTGCACGCTTTGGATAAGAATTAGAGCATCATCTGAACGTGCTGCGGGATATTAGTGTAGATAAGTATTGAGATTAGATTAGTCGAGCAGTGCGCATATGAGCTTCAGGCCCGTCCGAGTTATTGCCTATCTCATGGGCAAATAGCCCTGATGCGGAGAACAGGACAAATCCTGATCGACCAGGATCAAAACAGGAGTAGGTGGCGTCTACAACGTCAACTCAACCAGGACTGTGAAAACTAATGGGCAACAATAGCTAGTAAAATGGAAGTAGCAGCTCCATCAGGGAATAGTCAAACTGTTCCGACTGATACGCAATACGAGAGATCGGCGAACTTCAGTTAGTGGAACAGTCTGCGATATGAGGGGACGACCTATTCACAGTAGAGATCAACGACTAGATCGCTGGGCAGAATACTTCAGCGAACAGTTCAGCTGGCCTGCCGCTAACCAG